GCCTCGTCAGGGTTGTCAACGTCAGAATCTGTGTGCTGATCTGTGTCAAGGATACTGAGGATCTGTCTCGCTTTGGCCATGTATCTGCGGTCACTGTCTGGTAGGAAATGGCACTCGCTGAGGAAATGTGTACTTGTGCGTTTTGCTTGCTTACATAAGGGACAGGAACGGTTTTGAGTCTTAAAGGGTGGTTTAGGATTATAAGACCGGATATCCTTATGAGGTTGAATAAATGTGCAGAATGATCTGGCATCTTCATTGTTGCGAATTTCCTCAAGTAGTGATGGGAGAGCCTGAGATATTTCGGGTTTTATGGAAGCTAAGGTTCGCACTCGGAGCTCTGTGCCATAACGTTGTTTCACAAGTTGTGGCAATGACGTGTTAATCAAACGTAGCCAGGTCAAAACAACTAAGTTTTCGACTGTTGGTGACAGTTCCTCGTCCTCCTCAATGTCTGTGCCATGGTGTGTGATACCGCCCTCTTTTTTTAACAGGTTGTCATCAATGAACGCTAACAGTCTCTGGTACAGATCTTCTGGACGCTCATCAGGGCGCAGGGTAATGTCGTTGAGGTCCAAGAAATGGGCGCCGGATGATTGGGATCCGAAGTGCAATCTTATGGACTGCCATATTTGCTCCAAGGAGGTTGAGTTTTTCACTATTACATTACGTGAAATCACAGGACAGTAGTTTGCAATTTGGCCAAGCATAAGATCTAGAGTGGCTGACTTTTGCTGTGCTGTTAGCCGCTTGTTCTCCGGAACCGGGTCCTCGTCGTCTGTAAAGTCACGATTCGGGTTAGCCTTCGACTTCTTGGCCCATTTTGCGTCATGAGATAAAAAGGCAGAAAAATTTGGATCAAGAGACAACGAATAGATTAAATTCTGTTTCCAGTTTTCGAATGAATTCACAGTTTCAGTTTTTGAAAGACACCATTGTTTGGGTGCTCTGTGTGTACTTGCCATGCTTGTCAAGGTAAACACGTTGTCGGGTGCGTGTAAAACTTCTTCACACAAGGGTTCTCCTCGATTGCTTCCGGAGACGAAGAGTCGAAATCGCTGCCACCACGCCACGGTAGGAGAGAATCCACGACTAACGCGTGTAAACTGTAACAAACTTTATTCACACTGCTACAGACACAAAGCTTGACAATATGGCGCCATGCATGCAATACACTCGTATCCCGAGCCCGATCACTAAACAGTCACACAACATCTATGTTGGCGTTGGGACAGTACTCAGGTGAGCGATGTGGCCCCTGGGCCTCTTGTTATCTGTCACAGTTTTCTCAGCATCTGCTTGCAGTTGCATGAAAGTTCAGCACTCTTTGTTTAGGCATGCCATTTGGTGGGATTTACTTCTGTTTCAATTCTTGTTTATCTGTGTGTCTTTCTGTACAATATGTAGCAAATTTGTGTCACAGTTTTTTCAGCAACAATTCATGGCAGATGCTTGAAATTTAACACACTCTTTGTTGAGGCATCTCATGTGGTGGGATTCATTTTTGTATGAATCTGATGTCAACTTCCTGTTTATCCAGTCATCAGTTCAGTTCAGTTCAGTTATGGAGTTCCCTCCTATGTATAAGGAGCACCCAAAAAGGTGGTTTCATAAAAGACATAAAAATTAAAATTAAAAGAAATAAAGTGATGAAAAGACAGTTAGTAAAACCTATTCTATGTAGTGCTGTAAAAAGTAAAGTTAGAGGTGATAGACAAACTCAAAATAAAAACAATAATTTACAGACTGTACAGGAGCTTAGGTTGAAATGTAAAATTGTTTAGGCCTTAAAAGTACTAAAAAAACAAAAAAAACAACAAAAAACAAAAAAAAAAAAAAAAAAAAAAAAAAAAAAAAAAAAAAAAAAAAAAAAAATTTAACACTTGTACCGTGACTGTTTCTATTTTAAAAGTTATTTCAGCTCTAAAAGTAAATATAAACTTCTCCTTAACAAAAATAAGGAAGAAATATATTAAGAACTGTTGGTTGTAGACTGCGTACTAATTTTTTTAATAGTTTGATCTCTATGGCAATGTAGAGCAAATACCATGTTGCGGCCCAGGTTCTCAATAAATACTGTTTCTGGATGGAATCTCTGAGAATGTGTAGTAGGAGGGGTCGATAATGACTTGCAGTAGTCTAATGTCCTCCATTATGTATGGATTTGATTCCTGTAAACCAATGTTTTCTTGCAGGTAATGTCCTAGTTTGGTCACATATGGTTGCCTAACAGAGTCTAAGATGGGACATTTTAATAGGAAGTGTAATCTGTCCTCTTTGCTCTCTCTACACAACAGACAATCGTTTTTCACTTCATGTTGGTTAAATTCATTAATATTATCTTGTAAGCGGTAGGTATTTGTTGCAAGTTGAACTTTGACGATGGCCTTATTTGAAGCACTGGGTGAATACGCACTTGACTGCCATAATGGATGGGGACGTCTGCATGAGTTGGCCTGTAATTTCAGATGTTGTAAAGAGACTTTTTCCGAAATTTCGATTTCATTCTTAATTTGCCAGTAATCCGATATTTGCTTCTTTGCTTTCTGTTTCCAATGTTTTGCCTCTTCAGTACTTTTAATATTTCTTAAAAGGTATAATGGATCTGGAAGATCGTATTTTTCTAAGGTACTTTTTGCTCTAATAAACCAACTGGCACTATTACAAGATTTTGTCAGTAGTTGTCGAACTGCCATTTGGTGCTCTATTGTTGCAGGATCTTTAGAAATATTTAGAAATGTTGTGATAATTCTAGCATCATCATTTCGTAACTGAACTTGCGTGTATTTCCATTATAGCATATATTCACATCAGAGCGGGGGTATTACTAGTGAGCATTGGCTCACAGACCTCTTGTTTCTACATTTCTTGTTCAAGCTGTAAACCTATCTGTACGATTTTAATAATCAATGAGCCTACAAAGACAGTGAAAATTCTATTCCATATTGGTCCATCGTTCAGGCTATAGGATAGAGGTGTTGCTAAAACGCGGAACGGAACGGAAAACGGAAAATTTTTGTCAAACAAATAACATAGATTCGATATAAATCAGATAAATAGAAGATATTCAATGTTTTGTAGTTGAATATGGAATTTATTTCACGAGTGGGACAGGATTTTTTGATATTTTCATGAGTGCGAAGCACGAGTGAAAATATCAAAAAGTCCTGTCTCACGAGTGAAATAAATTTCATATTCAACTACAAAACATTGAATTTTCTGTTTATTACATTTTTAAAAAAAATTCTTTGATTTTTCCTTTGCCTCTGTCTTTTTGTAATACAGTCATAGGCTCATGACGTCATAATTGAGCGGTTGAGACGTCATAGCTAAGTGAGGTAAAACACTGTAAACATGGAGTTAGCAACATAGTTTTGGTAATTTCGACGGTTTTATTCGCTGTCAGAATTGTTTATTTATTTCCATCTATCTAATATTCAATAGGTCAAGGAAGATTTTTTTTTACAGCAATCTTCGTTATGAGAAGGGAAATCGAGAGTTTTCCCGCACTTTTGATATTCGTCACACTGTGACAGGATATCATTTTGATATCCTTTCACAGTGTTACAGGATATCATTTTTATTCATTGAATAAATTACAGTATTTCACGGGTAAAAATGTAATAAATAGAGGATATTCAGTGTTTTGTAGTTGAATATGGAATTTATTTCATGAGTGGGACAGGATTTTTGATATTTTCACGAGTGCGAAGCACGAGTGAAAATATCAAAAAATCCTGTCTCACGAGTGAAATAAATTCCATATTCAACTACAAAACATTGAATTTTCTGTTTATTACATTTTTAAAAAAAATTCTTTGATTTTTCCTTTGCCTCTGTCTTTTTGTAATTACAGTCATGGGCTCGTGACGTCATAGTTGAGCGGTTGAGACGTCATATAGCTAAGTGAGGTGAACACACTGTAAACATGAATTTGACAACATATTTTTGGTAATTTTGACAGTTTTATTCGCTGTCAGAATGGTTTATTTATTTCCATCTATCTTATATTACGTCAAGGAAGATTTTTTTACAGCAATCTTCGTTATGAGAAAGGAAATTGAGAGTTTTCCCGCACTTCTGATATTCGTCAGACTGTGACAGGATATCATTTTGATATCCTTTCACGCTGTGACAGGATATCATTTTTATTCAATGAATAAATTAAGGTATTTCACGGGTAAAAATGTAATAAAAGAGCAATATTCTTGCTGTAAAAATCATTTCTGATAAAAATTTATTGTAAACTATTATATATTTATGAGTCATACACACCCTCCATGGAAAGAATGGTACTGAAAGAAATTCGACCCCAAGTACAAGATATATCGTTTATGATAAATTTTGTGTATTTTAAGTGATTTAATCCAAAATAATATATTCCGTTTTCCGTTCCGCGTTTTAGCAACACCCATAGGATAGAGGTACAATAGACGGAAATGTTTGTCTATAAAAAATAGATATTTATTATGTATATCCTAATATGCCAGCAAGACCACAATAAAAGCTCCTAACTGGTAACTCATCTATGTCTTCCTTTATTAGCTCTATGATCCTTTGATATTCGGGAACTAATTTCTCTTCCAGGAATTTTATTTTTTTGACCACAACTCCTTCTTTTGCTTTCTGATTCTCGCTGACTTTCTGCATCTCATGGCGTACATGCTCTCCAAATGCAATGCATTCAGTGCAGACAGGAATATCACAAACTTGGCAATGAAGATTGCACCTTTGGTCAACGTGCTTGGGACAGCATAGCTTCGGATAAACATCAAATTTTGCTGAATATTTGATAACAACGTGTTCCTGTTGTAGAGACATTGTATGCGAAACAACACAATTACTGCACACGTTAACGTCACAACTCCTGCAGAAAAGTTCTGCCTTGTTAGGGCAGCACTTACATCGTATCAACATCTGAGCAAACCCAATGGTTTGATAAAATAAAGGCTTTAAAAAATATTCAAGGATATTTTTTTAAAAAGAAAGTAAAGAATATAGTGGTTTGAAGATCAGATTTATGCAAATCAAGTGAAAAGCCATGTATCAAAACTTTTAATCCTTCAGGAAATGATTATTTTTATTCATACAATAATTTTCCCATCCTTACAACAACTGTTCTAATTTATAAATGCCTTTAAATTTTTATGGTTTTAAAAATTCAGTGTTGATGTAGAAAATTTCTGGAAGAAAAAATTTTCCCACTGACATGCTGACCAATTTTTTATCCTGTGTCAAGAGAAGGCAAAGAAATATAAGTTTTAAAATTTTTAAAGATGGCCTAATTTTCTATACACATGTATGTACTTAAATTTAAATTTAAACAATATTTTATTCACAGATCTAGAAGCGAATGGGATTTGGCAGCAGGCTCAGCCCATTTTAGCCCTCTCATTAAGTACTTCAGAAGCAAATCTAAACATAAACTTCTCTCTAAAAATGCCATCGTGACTAGTTTTTCTACATTATAACAATAGCTAAATTTGTTTGTCTCTATGATGTCTTTGTATCTTTATCCTCTTTGTTCATTCTCCAAATTTTGAAGTTCAGTACTGAGGCGAAGGTCACCCAGCCCAGGTACGGGACCATGATGTAGGCCGCTGTTCTGTTAACCTCACGGAATGCGAAGATTGTGGCTACAATGGTCCCCCATAGACATCCAATCTCTATGGTAGCCTAGAAATGTCATAAACAGATGTTAATTATTGTTTACATAGACATCCAATCTCTATGGTAGCCTAGAAATGTCATAAACAGATGTTACTTATTGTTTACATAGACACCCAATCTCTATGGTAGCCTAGAAATGTCATAAACAGATGTTACTTATTGTTTATATACACAACCAATCTCTATGGTAGCCTAGAAATGTCATAAACAGATGTTACTTATTGTTTATATACACAACCAATCTCTATGGTAGCCTAGAAATGTCATAAACAGATGTTACTTATTGTTTATATAAACAACAGACTGGATATTTAATTCTAAGCCTTAATGCCTAACCCTGGCTTTACATTCAATAACTCTTGCTTTAGTCAAATTATCAACAAAGAGCCATTTTTCTAATGAAATGTTTTAAAGCTATATATGGCGTATCTGAGGTAAAAAATAAAAATATGAGATTAAGCGGAGATTTACACGAAATTTGTTATTTACATTCAAATTAAAATTTTCATCTATCTTGAACTTAAATATCCCCACGTTTCTATTACTTAAATTGACTTTAAACTATGTCTGATATTTATTTCTGAGTCGGAAATAATTCGGTTATTGTTTTAAATTCTGCGATAACTTTGAAACGCAATTGATTTAAATTGTGTAATTTACAGGAAATTCTTCTCCTTATATAAAGTAACAAAACAAATAGAAAGATCTTATTAATTTTAGATAGTCAGAACTTATAAAAAATAGGCCATATATCACTTTAAATATAGGAACATGTATTTGAAATGGTATTCTAGCATGATTCAAAAACTAAATATGCTTTCACACCAGCTAGATCTACACTTAAAACTTTCACTGAAATATATCATAAATTTATTCCTGGGTTTGAAGTGCATGTGCACTTACACTATAAACTGAGAATATACATTCATGTACAATCAACTGTGCTTGCTTGATCTGCAATGATCAATATTCAGTATTAAAATAAAGGAATAGTTATGCTTTTGAAGATAATTATTCAAATTGAAAATTTTCTCAGTAGATCTCCATTTATTCAAATACACACGTATATAAATTCTTAAAAATATCAGGAAATTGGTAATCATTTAAACTACATACCAGCCCCAGCCTGTGGGCTCCAAAGAAGATGGGCGTCCATGCCCAGTTGAGGGCTAGCTGTGTGCCGTACAAAGCCAGGGGTAAGGCTGCATCCCCCTGGAACCCTCCTCCATCCTTCCACACCAGATAGGAAGCATACCCCATACCTCCATACAGAGCAGTCCACACCGGTCCAAATAGATAGTTAGGGGGCCTCCAAGAGGGGCGCTTGATATTCTGTTAGAAATAAATATTGTGTTTTGTCAATGAGTTTACTCAGATGTTTACCTCTTATTTGTAACTGCACAGAACACCAGTATTTAAAAAAGGAAAACAGGACTACATCTAAGAAATCTCACCATGAGTATATATGTGTACGTATATTGACAGTGATGAACTTAATCAATATATACCATGTGAAGAATTATATAATTGCTTTCTTTCAATGTAACTTGGATGGGCATATTATTAGAAGATAATACAGTAAAACCTCATTATCTCAAACTCAAAGGGACTGAGAAAAAGCTCTGAGATATCCACAGATTTTAAATATCCAGGGTATAATGATTTATTTAGGAATAAGGAGTCAGGACTTCTAAACCACTTTGACATATTCATAGTATTCAAGATATACCGTGTATCAGTGTCCAAGATACCAGAATTCAACTATATTACATTAATTATTATACTCATTAAAAACAAAGCATCTAATGTATATATACCACACTCACTTCCCTATAATTTGGTATCATGTAAAAATAAACTAATCAGGAAAACAGAGTTTGTTGTTGTGTGCCTGTGATTTGGAGGAAACCAGGGGCCTGTTACAGGATACAGCCACTACAAACTCTGGAATTCTAAATATGAACACGCTCAAGAAACTAACACGGTCTACGGACAACGGTAAGGGGAAATTTAGATTTATCACTGATCAAACTGTCTTGTCTGATTGGAAAAAACAAACTTAATATTATGTACATGTAGATTTAATCATATAAGTGGTGTATTTAATCATATTAGTGATGTATTGAAGAGTAGTTTGGTATTAGCTTCAGGGATCTTGCTCTAGTAAATGTACTAAAATGTAAAAATTTCCTTATTTGATTCTCTGTAGCCCGGCCCCTTCTCTCTCTCTCTCTCTCTCTCTCTCTCTGACAATCTCTTTTTCTCTCTCACACACTTTTTGTTTTAAATGACACCTTAGAATGTTATTTTTTATTGACCATACTAAAATTTTGAATTCCAAAAAGATAACTCTTGCTAAAAATTCTATAAGCTAGCTACTGAAATTGATGAATCCAGTCACTCACATGTGATAGAACTTGATTAGCAACTATCAAGTTAGCTTGACATTAAGTGATATTTAAAAAAGTTGTTGACTGTGCAAACTTTACGCATGCACAGTTAACTTTTTTTCTCTAGGGGAAAGGGGGGGGGGGGGTCAGTATAAAAACTGCATGAAACCTTGACAGTGCCTCAGTTGACAATGGTTTCCTAGGGATGATAATTTTAAATGTTACCTTCTACTAAATACATTGATTATATAATGTCGTTTCACTTGAATAATTTTGGAGAATACAATGAGATTATTTTCTGTGTCATCATGTGGTTATGTAAAATCATTGAACAGGTAATATTCTATGATACTTAACAAAATTAATCATCATCAGTGAGTTATAATCCCTTATGCTAACATTAAATTTTTGGTTTTTTTCTTAGACTATTTCAATTAGTACATGTAGATCTCACCATGATCGACTTAATGACATAATGAGATATCCTCTGAGATACAATAAATTTGAAATCATTTTAATTATCAAACTCATTCAATATTGAGAATTATTATATATATATATAGTCTATAAATAGCCCCTATATTAAAAGCTATATATCATGATATATACAAACACAAACAGTTCACTGGATTTGAAGTCATATTCACCTGGTGTGTCAGTGCCCTTGCGGCGGCATTATGACTCCACAATTAACACCTCAATCAACATTGAAAACAGCTAGTGGTTTCAATGGTCTGAGATAGCTGAATATATGAGCAGGATTTTTTTTTCAAGTCTATTGCATTTATTTTCTTAACAGTTCGGTGTCAAATATAAAGGCACATCGAGAGGTAAACATGGAAGTTTGAGCTCAGTTGTAATGAGGACATTATTTTTCTAAGACAGAAGTTCATTAATGAAATTGGAATCCTCGATCAGGCAGCCTTCAAATGAATGTACATGTAGTTAACAAACCATATTCACCATTGAAAGAGTCCATATTTGTTTTATTTCATAGACATGTACAGGATTTGAATGTAAGACATCTTATTCATTCAAATCCTGACTATGTAATAAAACAATTATGGAATCTTTCGATGGTGAGTATGGTTTGTTAACTTATTCACCATCAAAAGACTTCATAATTGTATTAATAATGTCCCATGAGAATACAGTTGAAAATTATCACTGTATCAAAGTGCGATTTTCTGCACATCCAAAGAAAAATGATAATTAACTCAAGAAATGTTTGATTTGGTAGCTAAATAAAGCTACTTCAGGTAATTCAAGCTAAATCTAGTGATTGTACCAGACCTGCATGCTCACCTCATACCAAGTTGAAATATTTCTCCTTGAGATTAGCCCATACCAAACCATTCTCACAATTTGCTCATGAGCAGCTCACGTGAGGACTAACCAGATTTCCTCACCTGAGTTGCTCATGTGAGTCTCATGTGCAATTTAACATGCAAATTAGGTGAAATGCTCACGTGAGCAGGGTTCTGCACATGAGCATTTTTTGCTCACGTGTGGAATCATTTTGCTCACCTAGAATATTGCTCACATGAATCTCATGAGGCTTATGAGACTCATGTGCAACAATTGCTCACTTGGAACAAGCAGAAATAGAACAAAATTCAGATTACAAACATTATATAATTATGTAATTTTAAAATGTGATTCATCAATTACATTTTAAATACTCTTTCAAGAGCAACATGTACATGTAAATAGATGCATGCATGATTATGTTCGATGAACTTCATTTCAGTAGAAATAAAATTAAAAATAAAATAAAAGTTGAAATTAAATTGAAATAAAAATTTAAATTAAATTATTATAATTATGTACAGTACACATCAATCAAGGCATAATATATCCAATAGTTTCATTTCCAGTAGATTTACATAGAACATCCTATGTAAATGTCCAGTCAACATTTGTAACTGCACTAGTACTAGATGGATAAAAGTTGTCTTGGAGGCAAGTAGATGCTTCTGCCTTTGCTGAATTTATGAGTGGCAGTCATACTTGGGTTTGAAATAATAATCCAGTGGTTATTAGAATTATAATAAATTCATCCTGTTCCATTCTTTTTCCTTGCATTTCCTTTAAATGAGTGCAAACATCAGAACTCTGTCATGTATGCAGGCTCAGCTAGGGTCCGTAATTAATCTGCAGATCCTTTGATTCCAACTTTTAAATTATCTGCAAAATATTTTGAAGTTATAACAATTACGTTAGTATATTTTCAAGGTTCTCTTGATCATGAAAAGCCAGTGCCAGTCAATAGAAAAATCATATGCATCAATATTTAATTAGCAACTTAAAGACATGTGCATGATTCATATAGAATACCACACTGAGGCTGTCAATTGTACACTCTGACCTAATCTGTTCTTACCATATTTATAGTTCTTAATTAAACATTAATTCCTGATAACATTCTGCATTAAATGTTAAATTTCAAACACTTACCCTATTCTTAGATCAGCTGCGATATCTTCGAAATTTTCCATCATTGTTAGAGCTGCACCATTGGTAATATCTAATTGATCTTTAATCATTTCCTCATCCCATGGACATACTGTACACATTTGTAACTTTTAAAGGTTGGCATCTAGTTCAATATGGTGATGACATTGTATTTCAAAAAGCATATTTCAGTTCTTCACTGTATTAATCCATATACATGTACTTTCAATGTCCCTCACAAACATTTTGTCTTGAAATTTTGAACTGGTCTGAGAAGGCGCACAAATCCTAACTGGCTCTCCTCATTGGATACTGTCCCCACCTTAAGTAACAGTGGGGGACACAAGAGGTTGTTTAAGTAAAGGAAAGCATTTTCAAATTGATGGGAATATAAAGATTAGAAGCTCAAGAAATTAAGATATTCCTGCCTGGTCCCCAATCATTTGTGATGCTATCATCAGGAAGTGCTAACACTTAACACATGGTCAATTAGTAATCAAGGCTTCGGAAAGCTTGGACCACATAGAGTGTCAAAGTATTGTATTTCCTCACGTGAGCCTCATGTGAGGAATTGAGACTTGTAAATTTTTGGTTTTGGTTCTTTTATTGAATTTTGCCTATGTCCAATTTCCTCACCTCTTGCTCACCTGAGAAAACTGAACTTAGAAAAATCACTACAAATGCTAATAGCTTGAATTACGCTGTTCTTAGGTGAGCAAATTGAATAGACTTTTGCTCATGAGCATTGAGGTGAGCATAATTTTGCACATGTGCATTTTGGTTAGTATTTTCTTCCCTAACAAAGACTAACAATCTGCACATGAGCAAAATCCAATTCTACCTAATTTGCATACAATTCTTACTTGATTCTCATGTGAGTCTCATGAGCTGCTCATGAGCATTTGTTAGAATGTTTGGTACGGGAGGGAACCAAAGGCTGCCCCTACATAGGGCAGTGCGATGGCTGCAGCAGGCTTCAAATACTCCGACATATCTGTAAGATGTTGAGACTATAATGTTAAACCAAAACTTTTACAAAATGTTAAAAATAATATGTTTTACAATGAAATGAGAGTGCATGAACAGGTCCAGTCCAAAGACTATTTCTACCTACGTAGGTATTAATAGCTACCTAGGTATTTAAAGCTACCCAAAGTAGCTATTTTTACCTACTTTCTGCTTTACTTGCATTTTGTGGCCAAATGCGGGAACGGCGCAACATGGTGGGCACAAAATTTCTTGATACAGTCACACTGATGATGAATATGACAAAAATTTGGCCAAAAAATGAAAACTTCGTATCTTATCAATTTTGCATAGAAACTAATGTAAAATTACAGATTCAGGAAGTAATCATTTTTTGGCCAAAATTTTGTCGTATTCATCATTAGTGTGACCGTATCAAAAAATATAGCATTCCCCATGTTGCGCCGTTTGGTCTTTTGGTCGCAAAATGCATAAATTATATAAAGTAGGTAAAAATAGCTACTTTTGGTAGCTTTAAATACCTAGGTAGCTATTAATAGCTACGTAGGTAGAAATAGTCTTTGGACTGGACCTGATGAATTGCCAATTCAGACATCTTCAGGAAATCAAAGTCAATGGTCAAAAATGCACAACTACAAATAAAGAGTTATCCTACTGTCCTTAACAGGTTCACAAACTACAGTATAAATATGTAACCATTTGTATCAATATCTACACGCTTCTTTAAAGTTCTAGAAGTTGATCGACCGGGCATGCAATTGATGATGACCTTAAACTGCCGAGTACAGTAGATTCTGCGTTTATCTAATACCAACTGTCGATATGTTCAAAAATGTTTTAACATCTTTTTTAAAAGAATTTGTTTTAATTAATGAAAAGAAAACCCCACCTGCACCACTTTGTAACCGGACAAAATCAGCTGATTTACGTAAAAACAGGTGCCCTTTCCTGACTTCCTTTAGCAGACGAAAATGACCTTTGAACTTTTGTTACACTACTTAAACAACTTCCTGTGAGTATTATAGTTAATTCTGTTGTTCCGATGTATAAAAAAAATGCTGAATACTGATTGTATTGATGAGAATACTATCTACATTTATTTTTAAGAAAAAAAAAAAAAAAAAAAAGGGAAAATTACTCCGGAAATTAATTTTCCAACCGTACTATATTTTTTTCAATCTGATGATAGAGAATTTTATTTATTTGTTATTAACTTTTGGCAAATTTCTGTTAGGCCTATTCAAGATTTTGTACAGTTAAATTTTGGGTATTGATATTAAAGTCATAGTAATTCTAATTTAATTTCAATTGCACAATGTAATGGACTACTTCCTTCCCTACTTCTGTAATTAGTTGCCCCCAGAGGTAAACCGGAATCGAAAAATGGCTACCTCTCCAAATAGTACTCTGACTCCAAAAAAGAAGGAGGAGTCGTTTATAGATAAGTTAGGAGGAACTCTGGCCAGGAAGAAGAAAGCCAAAGAAGGTCTTAAAAATTATGTGTTTATATTAGTATCATAATTAGTGTGGAAACATAATTAAAATCCAAGTTCAAGATTTGTTTACATCTAGTTTCCTTTTCCAAATAAGGCCAAAACTCATGTTTGATTTATGCACAAGTATTTCGGTTCTTTGATTGCAAAGAAATCTCTAATATTGGCAGGGTAATTGATTTCTACTACTTAACTTTCAAAGGTTATTAAAAACATTAGATTAAATTATCATGTTGATCAGTTTATAAGGGTTGACTGAGGCTGGATTATGATGTTTGAAAAAAATTTACATCTATGAAATGAATGAATGCAAATGCTGTATGTTCGGAAAAGTAACTGTAAATTAAAATAACAAATATTATTATATAGTCTATTTATATTCCCTATATAATCTATACAAGCGCAAACAGTTCATAACACTACATATTCACTGGATTTGAGGCCGTATTCACCGGGGGGACATTGCGCGTGCAGCGGCGTTGTGACGTCACAATCAACACCTAAAACAACGTTGTAAACAATGATTGCAACGCCCGCAGCGAGCTGCGAATATGAGCAGGAAAAATATTATACAAACCTATTGCAGGGTTATTTTTAAACATTTGGACGTCTCACACATAGCGAAACTCGGAAAGGAAAACACGGAGGTGACAAACTGTAATCTGGACATTTGTTTTCAACGACGGAAGTTTGTTAATGAAAATGGTGTCGTCATCCAGCGTTCAATGTCTTATTCATTCAAATTCGGACTATATAATAAAACAATTATGGACTCTTTTGGTGTTGAATATGGTTTGTTATTCACCAGAAAAGTATCCATATTGACCTCGGCTTCGCCTCGGTCAATATGAATATTTTTCTGGTGAATAACAAACCATATTCAACACCAAAAGAGTCCATAATTGTATAATATGAATAACATAATGATAATGTCTGCATATACAAGCCAGTTAAGGAATTTCCATACCCGCATTACGTCACAAAATTGTAATAATATTTTCCGACCGTATTGACTCATTTATTAGAGATCGTTCTTCATTTCCGGTTTCAACATGGAGCGAAATAAAAAGTGGAGGTTTGTAAAAAGGGCCATAAACATTAAGTAATCGCCTTGGATAAAGGCAGAAAATCTCGTTTTCCATCGGATTTTGTTCCTATTACGGCCGTACATATAGTTGACCACGATTATAATGTTTAAAGGTTAGAAAGTTGCGATGAACACGTTGTATACATCATGTTGCTAGACAAGAAGATGTGACCACGGATAATTTAGACGACAGAGAATGGAGTATTGGAAGAAGAGTGGTAGAATTGGAGACCCTGGCTGATGGACTTAAAGCATGTTATCTTTGCAGTCAGCTATTACATCTCTTAAACTGTGTGGGTGAAAAAAAACGGTTTAGCCTAAATTTTACTTGTTAAATGCCCATATCCTGAGTGTGGTTTTATAAATGATATACCAACTGGCACTAAACATGCTACAGTAAATGGTGGCCAAGCCTGGGATGTCAAAACAAAGTAAGCTGCAGGTATGTGAACATAATATATCCCTAACTTCATGTATAGTGGGAAAATAATGTAATATGTGAATGGCAATTCCTTCATTTACCATGTTTACAGGCATGTTTGCCTTTAAGATCTGAAAGTTTTTTTTTTTAAATTTTAGGAATAATTAATGGGGGTTTGGGGGAAACCCACATAAAAATATGCTTATGGAATTAAAAATCCCAAACATAACACAAAAAAGTTGTTAATTTAAGGAATGTTTTTTTATTTTTGTGTGAGTTATTGGTGTGTGAATCACACAGACTTGTCACGTAGGCATGAAAAATATGCCTACGTGCAAGTCTGTGTGATTCACACACCAATAATTCACACTAAACTGAAAAACATTCCTTATATTTACATTTTACATGTTTGGAAGCAGCTAAAATATGCTAAGTATTTGAATTTCTCGCTGCCCTATATATCACTGCATTTTTTCCAACATCGCTGCTGCCTCATTGTGACGTCATTGTAACGCACGTTTCTCCGTGTATATTTCTACACATGAGTATACACGAAAGTGGTTTTCAAATCAGTTTCACAGTTGGCTTACTAGAAAAACACAGTGAATGTATATATTTAACTTTGATGATCAGATTGTGTGTAATTGTTGATCTGTTGTTGTCAAACATTTCTAGAATTTGAAATATTGGATGTGCCCCTCTGTGTACTGTATAAGTCTCATTATATAATGAACTCAAATACATATTTCAAATTTATATTTTTAAATAAAATTTTATTAAAGCTGAACAGGAAGTGCACCATGTCTCCTAGCTGGGCGATTCATTCAAAAGCATGATATTACTGATATTATTGACATTAATCAAATGATACATGTATTTTTCCATTTTCACTTTTTAGCCTTTTTTGAACAGGTGAAACCTACCAATCAAAGATTGCTTTTCAAGATCATGCTGATCTCTACGACATTGTTTTGAAGCAAGACAAAGTTTCTCCAGATCATAGTCCACAATGATATTTTTTCACTTTTGGCTAGGTAAGTTTACTATTTTTTTCAGCTTGCAAATAGTTTGTTATTTGTTGGTATATGTAAATTTACATTTTTGCATTGGAAGTTCTAATTGTCTAAATTATAATTGTAGCCAGAACACCAGATATTCTACAGATTGCTGCAGTATCAGGGAATGAAGAGATGAATGTCTATATGTGACCAACAACTCAGATTTGTCTTGAAGCTTCTGTGGCCCCTCGGATGACATACATTGGTGGAGTACTAAAACATAAAGGACAAACAGTTACATCAGTCCCTCCAGAGGATGGTCTTAGATATTTCCTTGAGTTTTTAAAGGAATTTTTCAAGCCCATTTTGGTTGGCCACAATGTGCAGAATTTTGATGTCCCAGTCCTGGTGAATCAGCTGACAAAATATGGTTTATTGGAACATTTCAAAGAAAATGTTTCTGGATTTCTTGATAGAATGGAACTTGCAAAAAAAAAAATCCAGAAAAAAGGGATTGATGTAGAGAACTATAAGCAAGAGATTTTAGTGAAATCACATCTTAAGATGCACACAATCACTTAAGCAACTCTACGAGAAAAAGAATATCTGATATGTCATCTTCAAATGATGTGTTTGCTCTGTCATACTACGCATGCAAATCATCATTAGACACCTCAGTGAAGTCTAAAGTTATTTCATCCCTGCCAAACATATTGAAGAATCTTGTTTATTGTTCCCTTAGTCTATCTAGTATCAAAGCTGAGATGAATTCACAAACGTGACCCATACAATGGAATCTGGAATGTGTTCTGTGAACGTGCAGATGAAACAAAGATCCTGAGAGTATCAAAATCCAAAAATGTTATTGACAAAGTTGTGGCTTATTTGAATGCACCATGAGAACATTTACAAATGTGTAGTATGTATTTACTATTGATGTGAATATTTAGAAATATCCCAGGTCCAGATATTGAGGGTAAAAAACATGAAAAATACCAGCAAGTGGTTGGGTCTTTCAACTTTTTCTCTAAAAAAATTCTTATTTGCTGAAAGGTTAAAGGTCAAGGTCATTTGGGTCACTCTGTAGATGTGCCTTCTCATGTTTCAACTTCTTCAGTACATATAATGGATATCAAAAGAAAAGTTTCATGCAGGTAATTTTGTATTTTTTCTTTGTGTTTGAGAAAAAAATGGGGGGGGGGGGGGGGGTTAAAAAGCAGCCTGCACTGACTTTATCAATATGGAAAGGTATACATTTTTTTATGTTTATCAATTTGTTAGATGTTTATTTACTTACTTCCAAAAGAATTATTAGGTTTAAACCCATATTTTTGTTATTTTACCTGAACTTGCTGATAATTTTCATTTTCTTTTCAACTTTAGCGGAACAACATAAATGCTTTCTTTTTCATTTAAACATGTATATGTGACTGTATTGTTAAAAAAATTGTGTAAAAATATTATTTCAGTTTATCTATTGTATTATAAGATCTACTTTCTAGCCAGTTAATTAGCAACCAACATAAAAAGTACCTCAGCATGAATTTTAATAAATTTGAAAAACAGACATATCTTGATCTCATTGATATACTTAATTAATGTGGCAATGGGCTAGTTTTATTTGTTTTTTGTGTTGCTTAGATATCCTACTTCTAGTATGCAAAACAAATTTGGGATTAAACCCATATAACTATGAGTATGGAAAGACCTTAAAATGACCCCAAAGTGTTGCTTCATTTCCTCTGCAGGCGTGAGGCGAAGTATTTTAAGCATCCCCTAATGACCAGTCACTAGTTAGAATAATCTAACTGTGTCTTGGGACAAGCCCTCACCACAGTTTGAATACCACCCATATACTCCCAATGTAGCAAAAAATTGCAGAATCGCTCCAAAACGAACTTGAAAAAATACAAAGGGATTTACATTTGAAATACCTTCAAAATTAATTATAACAAACCTTTTTGAAGTTGCGTATGCCTTTCAACCTAAAATATAATCCAAATAAAGACTATACAAAGTTAAGTGAACCATACAAGAGGATGTACGCTTGAATTTAATCAACTGTTTACTTACCTGTCATTATTCGTCACCTCTCCTTCTCCTCTGTATTTTTCTCTCTTTCTCTTGAAATAAATTTTGATCAAACAGATCGAGTTAATATTGCTGCATTAATCTAGTTTTAGGTTACACTTTTGTTATATTTAGGTTACACTTTTTTTATATTTAGGTTACACTTTTGTTATATTTAGGTTACACTTTTGTTATATTTAAGTTACACTTTTGTTATATTTAGGTTACACTTTTTTAATATTTTGTTTCAGTGAGTGAGCTCCAGGAGGAGGGAAAACATGCAATTGAGTCTCCCACAAGTCCCACTGTCCCTGACATTGGACCAGAGGGGTACACACTGGGTAAGTACCCTCCCACTAGCCCCACATTCCCCACATTTGACCTGGGGGGTACACTCTGGGTAAGTACCCTCCCACTAGCCCCACAATCCCCACATTTGACCGGGGGGGGGGGGGGGTACACTCTGGGTAAGTAACCTCCCAATAGCCCCACATTCCCCACATTTGACCCGGGGGGTACACACTGGGTAAGTACCCTCCTACTAGCCCCACATTTGACCTGGGGGTACACACTGGGTAAGTACCCTCCCACTAGCCCCACATTTGACCTGGGGGATACACACTGGGTAAGTACCCTCCCACTAGCCCCACATTTGACCTGGGGGATACACACTGGGTAAGTACCCTCCCACTAGCCCCACATTCCCCACATTTGACCTGGGGGATACACACTGGGTAAGTACCCTCCCACTAGCCCCACATTCCCCACATTTGACCTGGGGGATACACACTGGGTAAGTACCCTCCCACTTAAGCCCCACATTCCCCACATTTGACCTGGGGGATACACACTGGGTAAGTACCCTCCCACTAGCCCCACATTTGACCTGGGGGATACACACTGGGTAAGTACCCTCCCACTAGCCCCACATTTGACCTGGGGGATACACACTGGGTAAGTACCCTCCCACTAGCCCAACATTTGACCTGGGGGTGCACACTGGGTAAGTACCCTCCCACTAGCCCCACATTTGACCTGGGGGATACACACTGGGTAAGTACCCTCCCACTAGCCCCACATTGCTCACATTTGACCTGGGGGATACACACTGGGTAAGTACCCTCCCACTAGCCCCACATTGCTCACATTTGACCTGGGGGATACACACTGTTATCTCTCTCTAGCCCCACACTTCCACAGATTGAAGCTTAGCACTAAGTAAGGGAGACCTAAATACCCTGTAAATCACAGTTTTAACAGGTTTGAACACATAAATTCTAGAGTTAGCAGAACATTTTTAGATCTAAAATATCATATTTTTCGAGGGGTAAAATTTTGGTGCTTTGAGGAAAATGTATTGGTTCATGGGGATTTGATTTCATTTTGAAGAATTGTTACTTAGTACGGTAATATATGTGATAAATTACATTTTGTGGCGGTCATAATTTTATGGGTCTCTTCATGCCCCGAAAAAACAAAAATTAACCCCACAGAAATTTATGATTTTACAGTATTTTAGGCAGTGATTTAAATGTGAAATGACTCTGTTTTAGATGAAAATGAGGAGCGGTCAATGATAGAACCTCAATCCAGAGAGGACCCCAAAGTTAAAGAACTGATAAAGGTAAGAGTTCCCTCAGACTGTAGATGAATATTAATCAAAAGAAGTTTCTTTGCATGTTTATTCTAATTTTTAACAAAAAGGTTTGATAAGGGCTGCTAGTAGAGTATGTTTGACTAAGGTAAATTTTGTTAAGTTGTAAGTTCTTTTGATTGCTGATTTTTAGCTCACCTTAACAAAGTTGGGGGAGGGGGGGGGGCCTAATGCGATACCCTCGGCGTCGGTGTCAACATCCCAAGGTTAAGGTTTTTGGAGCAGTTTTCTGTTTAAGTACTTTTATGCCCTGCATTAATTAGAGATGCATGAAAGATGCTTGGTCTCAGATGCTGCAATTTCAGCTAAGCAATGGCCATGTTAATGTTTTAAGAGCAGGTTAAGGTTTTTGGTGCAGGTTCAAGTTTTTGGAGAAGGTCTCCCTTCCAAGTAATATAAACCCTTTATTGACCAAACTTCATAGATGATACATACAAGGATGCACACTTCTGGACTTGCTTTGGATGCTGAATCCAACCTACATTTTCCAGATGAGTGATCAGTTCCATTACTAAGAATCTATAAGGCCTATCTGAACCAAACTTGCACGGATTATGCATTCAAGGACAAACACTCTTAAACTTGCTTCAGATGATGAATTTGAACTACAGTTTCTGGATGAATTACTAATTTAAAGTTTTTGAAGTCCATTTCCTAACTACGTAACTGCAAGCCCTGTCAGATCAAAATTACATACATGTTGCATCTTGGGATGTACACTACTAGATTCTTAGTTTAATGTGGAACTTTGCCTTTCTTAAAGACAACATTCATTGCAGTGAGCCCTGTAATCTCTGATTACCTAGGTTTATACTTGTAGGTGAGCTCTGTAATCTCTGATTACCTAGGTTAATACATTGTGGATGTCAGTTAGTCTTTACATAATTATTTATATCGTACATGTTGTAGATGTTGCTGGACTGGATTAACGACGTTCTAGCTGATGATCGTATCATTGTGAAGGACATCGAGGAGGATTTGTTTGATGGTCAGATTCTTCAGAAGTTGATTGGTAAGTACATGTAATTATATAGGAAGATTTGTTTGATGGACAGATTCTTCAGAAGTTGATTGGTAAGTACATGTAATTATATAGGAAGCCCAGGAACAAAAGTCAAGGGGTACGGTACTTTATCAGGGTTCTCCACATTTGAAAATTTAACCATGGAGGAAGCTGCGCAAAGGCGAAATGTGGCTGAAAAAACGAATGCTTGTTAGACTTCCTAATCTTCATTAATCAATGATTGGTTTTTCAATTTTTAAACTTAACCACTCAACACAAAACAATGGAATAACTAACACTTTTTAAAATTAAAAAAATAATAATTAAATTGAAAAGGATTTATCTGGTATCTTACTTCACAAATGTACCAAAATTTGTCCAAAATTGTAGTTACCTTCTAAAGAAAAATTGTTAATACAGTAAGTCAGTATGCATGGCAATATTTTTCAGAAATTAATAATTATAGGGAATTGTAGCCTGTTGTATGAAATGTTTTGTCCAATATGACTAAAACTGATGAATGGGTAGTATTTCTATTAAGTTAACATACAATAGAACATTTGGTCAAGTGTCGACGTTTATTTTTCTAGATATGCATTTTTCACCAAGTTTTGTTTACTTCACCACATGTCCAAGTGCTAAAGATAGCGCCACGCAAAGTTTCATAACAACGGGAAGTAACTCTAAAACCAAGACTAAGACAGCGATTAAAACTAAGACGGCGATTGAGAAGTAGACACTATGCACATTTTATCAGATAGATAATAAAAATAAAGCTTTAAAAAAAACAGAGCATGGGAAATGGATTAAATACAGATAAATATGAAATTTTTACAGACTAGGCCTAGGTTTTCTGGCACAGAAACCTAACTCGCATGCATGACGATTATCATAAAGTTAACCCGTTATATATCTAATAATTTAGTGAACATGTTTAAATTTCCCAAAATTATTTACATGTGTACAGGATAATAAACTCTCAAGATATTGATCATCTGATCAGCTGATTGACTCTCCATTGATTGTCACACTTCACAGCATAGTCGTTAATTAATAACGACGTGTTTATTTAGCACACTCCGCTTTCCTTTGTGGCATGCGAGGTGCATGGCAGTCATAGTATAAACACAATTAACTACTCAAGTCATTAAAAAAGCATGTGTCAGGACTGAAGTGCTAAAAAATTTAATAATGGCCCCTGCCGATTTTAACCATGGCGCAGCTTGTTTAACCATGGCGCACATAAATTTAACCATGTGGGCCGCCATGGTAAAACCCCATGTGGAGAACCCTGCTTTATTGGAAAAACCAGCAAAATAAAATTAATTTTGATATATACCGGTATCAGACACCAGGCAAGACTGTCACAGACTGACACAGTGTTTCCGTTAACGCATATTTCTGCGTATTTTACGCATAAAAAATACTTTTTACCCCCAAAAAATTCACCTCAAGGGTCATCATGACGCAGAAAAAAAATATGAAAACGAATTTTAAAAATCCAGTTCAATATTGATGCCTTTATAGAAGATATTTTACATGTTTAGTTTACATTCCGGGCAACTTTCTAGGAATTCATCATTGCTTTTAGTTTAATTTCAAAGTGGCAGTGATTGAAATCGGCATTTCCACGTCAACAATCTATTAAATTCTTTTCTACGATCTGAACAAAACCGCAAATGCAGATAAAAATGGCTCTTCAGCATGTTCAGTCTTACATCGGCATATTTATATCAGCTTGGCTTTGTCAAAAAGGCCAATAATGCTAAAAAGAGGTGAGCAAAGTTCAAATCATTAATAAACAGTTTTGCAAAGAATTCAACCTCTTTCAATTGTTATCTTTTGATTGTGGTATTCACGAAGCCCTAATGGCGTAATCTGTAAAATGTGACAGTGTACCGGTAAATAAAAGTAATATCAATTATATTTTACTTTCGTTTTTTTAAAACATCAAATATATGATTTTAGATGGCAGAGCTAATATATAAAAACTAAACCAAAATATGTTTAACTGACCATCAAAAAATCTTTTTGACTCCCAAAACTTTAAATCAAAGGGTCATAATGACCCTTGGTTTTAAAAGTTTGCAGAAACACTGTGACATGATCATGTCAGGAAGGATGCTCAGTACAATAAGTAAAGGAATTCTGCTTATATAACTGCTAGCATATTATACTCCCTTATTATTACACTCACTGCATATTACACTCCTTGCATATTACACTTCTTGTATATTACACCCCGTACATATTACACTCACTACATATTATACTCCCTGCCTATTACACCCCATCTTTTTTTTTTACACCCCCTGTATATTGAGAATACTAGTAGTAGGAAAAGTGTACAATGAAAGTAAACATCTTTGGCTGCCACACTAATGTGTAATCGGTGCTTTACCTAATCAATTTCTTTCTTGTTTCATACTTCAAAATTCATTCAACTCAAGAGTTTACTCCCTTGCAGAGAAGCTGGCGGGGTTAAGGGTCGAAGTTCCAGAGGTCACACAGTCTGAGCAGGGTCAGAAACAAAAACTACAGATCATCTTAACAGTCATCAATAGAATTCTACATCAGAGCCCGCCCTGGACCCAGAGTAAATGGAGTGTAGATAGTAAGTTATTCATATAATCATCCAGAGTAAATGGAGCGTAGATAGTAAGTTATTTATAGAATCACCCAGAGTAAATGGAGCGTAGATAGTAAGTTATTTATAGAACCCTCCGTGGACCCAGAGTAAATGGAGCATAGATAGTAATTTTTGTTTAATTGGAATTTTTAGCGAGACACAATCTTAACACCCTCGCTTATTATGCCAAAACTGCTAAAAATTCTGCCTATATGGTATTTATAGAATCAACCTTTTTATCCATTATTCAGATATGGATTATAAAAGACTGTGTTCTTTAAATGTGCAAGGATTTAGGAATTATATTCTCACCCTGCTGGGGGCCAATTAGGGATCTAAAAATTTTCTACAGCATCTAGTTTTCTAAGTAATCACAATCACTCAATTGTAGGTAAAGTTTGTTTGAAAATCTTTCGGATTCATATTTTGTAATTGAAGTTCTTTAATTTGTATAGCATATGATTCAGGCATCGTGTGAGTGAGAGGTCAAGAGGTCATGTTCCTGAGAATTTTACAACAAATGAGTTTTATTGTTTTAGGTGTTCACTCAAAAAACCTGGTGGCCATACTTCATCTTCTGGTTGCCTTGGCGAGACATTTCAGAGCACCAATTAGATTGCCAGAAAATGTTTCTGTGAATTTAGTTGTTGTCACTGTAAGTGAAAGAAGTCATTGTAATATTTAAACAAAGTATGAAAAAAAGCATGTAATATTCCATTTGCTTTTTACCATAACAGTAATATAATTGAGAGATTTAGGATGTAGCGTTTTAGAAGTATTTCAGAATTAGCTTTTTAAGAATTTTGATTGCTGTCATCAAATGAAATGACATCTAAGTAATCTTTTTTTTTTTGAATGAACAGAAAAGAGATGGAATGTTACAGCCTCGTAGAGTTGCTGAGGACATCACAACTGTTAATGAGTAAGTCTTCACAGCTATAGTTCTCTGTAACCTTTTAGGGGGGGGGTTGTTTTTTTGTTTTTTGTTTTTTTTCACTGAATGGCTAGTACCACTGTGACAAAGGGAGACAACTTTTCCTTTTTATCCATACATTTTTTTCCTAAGACCTGCAGTAAACTATATTTGTTTATAATCAATTTATTTCCTCATTTTTAATGAAAAAAAAATTATTTCTGCCTTTTGGGTATTGCAATCGAGGAGAGTTTACAATAGAAGTGAACATTTGACTGTTTATCTGTTCATCTCTCTTTCAGAGATATAGGAGCTAGATTTGGTGAGTCTTCCTTTCTTTGTTCTGTTTATTTCTGACTGTAGAATGAGGTTTACAATAACAGCTGTCTCTCAAATCTGATTTCATTACGTGTAGAACAGAAAATTCTCTTTAGAGGAAAACCTTTTATATACTACTAGCAGTGTATGATACATCTTAAGTGCCTTGTCTTTTCAGAGAGAGATGCCTTTGACACACTGTTTGATCACGCTCCAGATAAACTGAATCTCGTCAAAAAGGTAACGAGTCTTGTCATGATTATTCCACACAGGTATCACTGAAATAAATCTAATAAGTCACACAATTATCATTTAGGCCATCCTTAAAAAATTGTTTTTTTGCGGTAACGCGACCGACTCACCAAAATCCACCCTACTGGATTTTTTTTATGGGTTCAAAAAAAAATTTTTTTTTTTTTTTTTACAGATCCATTTTCTAATTTTATCCTATTGACATTTTTTTACGTCCCCATTGCACCTGTAGACGCCGTTTTTTAAAAAAGAACTGATGTGTTCTGATATTTGAACAATAAAAGATTGGATTCATTAAGAATGCCTTAATTTTCTTGTTTGATTAGTAACTTAAAGTGAAATCTAAGACATAGTTAATACCTCTATCTAATCGAAATTTAATTCTGACTTTTTGTCTCCAAAAAAAAAAAAAATAAGCCTACCTACCTACCCACACCTTAAATGATGAGGCGCGTTACCGCAAAAAAAAATTTTTTTAAGGATGGCCTTAAGAAGTGTAAAGTAGTAGGGAATATTTATTGTTTATTTTTAGGGATGGGTATCGCTAAAAAATTTATTTGAAATATAACACAATTTTTTCCCAAAATATCACAATAGCATCATGGTATTTTTACAAGTAATTTTTACAATGATTTTAAATGAACAGTCATTATTTTTCTTTAAAATATGCTAGGAAAACAAAATTTCACTTTTTTGAAATTTTTTTGTTAATGAAATTAATCATGTTTGGAGGGTAAGATGCCGTTCTTTTCACCTTTTACAACAGTTTTTAGGCTTTCTGTAATTGAAATTTGAAAGATTGAGCAAATAAATAAATATTTTCTGGACCAGTATACCGATAAAATCGCACATCCCTATTTATTTTTATATATTTTATTAACATACATGTATATTTATTCAATGGTAAAATTTACGTATAATTTTAGAGATGAACATTGTTTTATTTTCTTTCCAGACTTTGGTGACTTTTGTGAACAAACAATTAATGAAAATTAATTTAGAGGTCACCGATATTGAATCTCAGGTAAAAAAAAAAAGAAATATGTTATACAGTATTTAATTCATTTCTATTATGATAAATCAAGATAAACTTTGCCAAAAATTGATTTAAAACTTTTTCAGTAAATATTATGTAGTTTGTGTATGATTTGACGTAAAGGGATGTAACTCTTTTATCCTTGTTGTGATGTAGGTTAACTGTGTTCTTTTTGCTTACAGTTTCATGATGGCGTCCACCTGGTTCTGTTAACTGTGTTATTTTTGTTTACAGTTTCACGATGGCGTCCACCTGGTTCTCATAACTGTGTTATTTTTGTTTACAGTTTCACGATGGCGTCCACCTGGTTCTGTTAACTGTGTTATTTTTGTTTACAGTTTCACGATGGCGTCCACCTGGTTCTGTTAACTGTGTTATTTTTGTTTACAGTTTCACGATGGCGTCCACCTGGTTCTGTTAACTGTGTTATTTTTGTTTACAGTTTCACGATGGCGTCCACCTGGTTCTGTTAACTGTGTTATTTTTGTTTACAGTTTCACGATGGCGTCCACCTGGTTCTGTTAACTGTGTTATTTTTGTTTACAGTTTCACGATGGCGTCCACCTGGTTCTCTTAACTGTGTTATTTTTGTTTACAGTTTCACGACGGCGTCCACCTGGTTCTGTTAACTGTGTTATTTTTGTTTACAGTTTCACGACGGCGTCCACCTGGTTCTGTTAACTGTGTTATTTTTGTTTACAGTTTCACGACGGCGTCCACCTGGTTCTCTTAACTGTGTTCTTTTTGTTTACAGTTTCACGACGGCGTCCACCTGGTTCTGTTAACTGTGTTATTTTTGTTTACAGTTTCACGATGGCGTCCACCTGGTTCTGTTAACTGTGTTGTTTTTGTTTACAGTTTCACGATGGCGTCCACCTGGTTCTGTTAACTGTGTTATTTTTGTTTACAGTTTCACGATGGCGTCCACCTGGTTCTGTTAACTGTGTTATTTTTGTTTACAGTTTCACGATGGCGTCCACCTGGTTCTGTTAACTGTGTTATTTTTGTTTACAGTTTCACGACGGCGTCCACCTGGTTCTGTTAACTGTGTTATTTTTGTTTACAGTTTCACGACGGCGTCCACCTGGTCCTGTTAATGGGGCTCCTTGAAGGGTACTTTGTTCCTCTGTACGACTTTCATCTCACACCGGTTGACTTTGATCAAAAGGTAAAGGTCATTCATGGCTTAATTAATTAACTGTATGTGATTTTACTGGGCAATAGTTAATTATAAGGTTCCAAAAAATCAAGAACAGCTTGAGAATTAAAGCTTCAATTAAGCTTGACAGTGTTTAATATGAAGTTTTTCCAGTAAATATAATTGGTAAAACGGCTTTTTTCAAGAACTGAATTCTAGTAGATTATCATTAGATGAATCCCATAAAGTAACATTAAAACATTGCAGGAAACATTTGGTACTGAGTGGTCAAGCACTATATTAGTTGATCATAATTAATTTATTCACCAACATACAATCACCATCCATATAAATACTGTTTCATTTATTCAAACCCCATTAAATACACCAAGTCCTGGTGTTGACTGATATTTTTCTGCCTCTGTTGGTACTGGTCAGGATAGAACAGGTTGGTTGTTGCCATTCATATTGAAACTGGACTTCTTTACCATAGACCCTGTCATACAAGTATAGTTATAGGCCCTATGTAAGTGTCTTGTAGTAGTATAGTTATGACTTTCTTTACTAGAGGCCTTAATTATTGACATATAAATATAGCGAACTGATTTTGAGTCCCGTTGAGGTTAAATATAATGAAATTTACATCTTTTATAAGGAACTTTCAAAGATCTCAAAATTTGATTAATTGAACTGACTTTATATTCTTTTAGCA